AGAGTGGAAGCTTTCAATTCGGCCTTCGCGGAATTGCGAAAGTTGCTGCCGACATTGCCACCGGACAAGAAGCTTTCAAAAATCGAGATCCTTCGACTGGCAATTTGCTATATCGCTTACCTAAATCATGTCCTCCAAGCTTGAATTTGTGCGTATCTCGATGAACGAAAGTGAAGAACATCAGAAAGTCACGATGATTCCTCCATTAACTTATTCCAATTGTGGATGAACCGAACAATCATTTCTCTAAAATTAAAAAAAAAGAAAATTAAAATTAAAAAGAATATTTGCTTAATCATATTATAAAAGCAGAAAAATTTTAGCACACGATTAAAGATATAAAACATTGAAAAAAAACTATGGAAAAGTTTAATACATAATTTTCATTTTGTGACAAGAACAATAAGAGAACAATAAAAAATAATAGAAAAATAAAGATTATTTAAATAATCATATGAATTACAATATTATAATATAATACTTTAAAAGAATCTCAACTTGTTGCGATAATCGTCAAATGTACGCTTGTACTTACCAAGTTGCACTTGTGCAAGCTTTTGTCTACAAAATCATCTTCCGTTGAATTCCAGATTCTAAAAAATTTTTAATTGGTTAGCACATGTTTAATTGTCCAATAAAGAGATTTGTTATTGTTCGATATATATGGTGACCGCTCAAAATATACAATCGTTGCAAAATTACACGAGTTGCATAAACTGTCGGATCGCGCTCTTTTTATCGTCGATATTGTCGAATCTCTTCGATTCCTGAGGATTAGTGGGCCACCTCGGAACAATGGAACAGCTCCCCATGGGACTTCTACCCCTCCGCGTTCTTCCAAATACTCCTACAACCCTCGACGGTCCGGCCGCGTATCCGATCGCCGTCGATTATACGGCTCGTGCTTAAGTGAAAAAGAATGGAATTGCCGATGAGGAGATCAACTTCACGGATCGTCGCCTTGCATCTCTCGTTTCCCGGTTCTTTGCAAATGTGATTTTACTGATTCGACTCGATCGCTCGGAGATCTTCGTGAGATTGATTGATTAATTGCGAATGAAATTGACCTGCAAAAAGACAGATGAATTAGAATAGAAGGAATTCATTTCTGTAAAAAATTGAATACCTAAATCAGGATTACCTTTAATGAATTAAATTAAATTAAATTAAATTTTAACAAATTTTACAATTACTAGACTATATTACAAAGCGCACGCCCATTTATTTCTTTTTACATCATATGTTATTTAATAAAACCTAATCAAAAAAACTTCAACTTTTAAAAACAATTGTCTTTGTCTTAATGCATAAAAATATAATTATATAATAATGTATATAAACACATGGCATTTAATCTACGGAATTATACATAATTTAAAGTATAAAATGCAATCATACAAAATAAGTTATAATCTTTTTCATACTTTGAAGACAGACACACACATATATTGTATTTAATATAAAATTTATACTTAACGAATAAAATCACAAAATTAAAAACAATAAAATTATTCACTGC